TTCTTGATTAATGAGGCCATTAAATAAGAGCATTTAATATTATTTGTATTTTCTTTCTCAAAACTTTCTTGGGTGTCACGGGCACATGATGTTAATTCAAATGTTATTTTGCACACGTGATGTTAATTCAAATGTTATTTTGCACACGTGATGTTAATTCAAATGTTATTTTGCACACGTATGTTATAACATAAGTAGATTGATAACAACATAACTTTTAAATTCCAACAATATTGATACTAAACACTACGTGCATGACACGTCGACTCTGTTGTTCACCCAAAGTTTATCTCTTATAACCCGCGGATGAATCAAACCGCGTAAAAACCATCGCACTCAAAAATTTCTGGCGCGGTGTTCATATTTATTGCCATGCATTTGTTTCCTCTCTTTCTCATCCTAAGCACTGTGTCATCTTTGTCTTTTACCCTCCAAGTTTCTAATCTCGCCCAAAGCTGTGTGTCCATTTGTTATAAAGATAGAGTCCATCAGTTTGGCTCATACCATTGTGTGCTGTGACCACCTCTGTAGGTTTCTTGATTGAGACTGGCTCTTTCTTGTGATTTTAGGAAATGGGTATCTTTGCATTGGTGACAGGAAGGCCAGGGCCTAGTGGGTTCGGGTCAGCTTCAACTGCTGAGCAGGTTACTGAAGGAGTTGATGCTAGCAACCTTACCGCTATTGTAACTGGTCAGCTAAATTTGCATTTTCCTCTGTGAATTAATTCTACTGTTTGTTTCTTTTTCTTATTTTTCCGGTCTTTGTGGGGTTCTTTATTTCATTGGATGTTTCTGTTTCTGGTGTTAATGGCCTTTTTTCTTTTTTTCTATTTTTGGGTTTTTCTTTTTTGTTTTTAGTAAAAAGAAGAACAAAAAAATAGATATGACCCAAGTAAACATGAAATTAGGAGTGGTAATATGGATTTTGAATGCAAATTTTTGCAAATCATTTTCTGAATTGTGTTGCAGAGCTACTCTGCATATAGAGACAGAGAGCAAGCCAATATGCCTCTTTCTAGTTTGATCAACATTTCTGTTCCTGTTTGTGAAATGCAGGTGGGGCAAGTGGGATTGGGTTTGAGACAGCAAGAGTCTTGGCACTTCGTCGAGCCCATGTCATCATTGCCGCCAGAAACATAGAGGCTGCTAATGAAGCAAAACAGGCTATTATTAAAGAAAATATAAGTGCCCGAGTGGATGTTCTGAAACTTGACCTCTGCTCTGTCAAGTCTGTTAGAGCATTTGTTGATAGCTTCAATGCTCTTGATCTTCCTCTCAACCTCTTAATGTCATCCTCTCTCTCTCTCTCTCTC